AAAAAAAAAAAAGAAAAGATGAGCTAAGAATGATTGCGAACCTGCTCGGTTCTCTCCACCAAGGGTGAGCCTACGCCAACTTTGTTGAGGTGAGTTGAGGGTGAGCACGAGTCGGCTCATCGGACGAACCAAGCGAAACGACTCAACTCATTCTGTTTAATACCCCCCTAAATATCGATAACTTATATTTAAAAAAGTGTCACTCAAAGAAGAAAATTTTAAAAAATTGAACTAGTGTGAAATTGGCTATTTTAATATCCATTTATTTTTTGTGTGTTTACAAATAAATAAATATTGATGGTTTTAGAAAAATAATTAAAATATTGATCACTAAAATACTTCTTAATTGACTTTGAATAACACAAGTAAAATTATAAATAGAAAAATATTTTATTACGTCAAAGCATAATGCTTAAGACTTGATTTTGTCGCCACCCCAGACAGAATTACTCCAAGTTGGCTTGGACTGATAACATTTTCTAGGAGATCTATGCAGGCCGATTGTGCAGTCCGGTTTTGGTGAAACTGGTTTTTATTTTTTTGAAATAAATTATTTTTTTTTTAAACTTTTGAGATCCTCTTCTAAATGAAGTCAAATTTGGTGTGTTTGAGCTACATTATTTTGAAAAAATGTATTTTGAAATAATAGAATAATGAAAAATGTGTGGTTGAAAAAGAAGGAAAAGTTATTGATGTAATGTAAAATCTTATTTTATTGAAGAATGTATGGTTGAAAATGAATAGAATAATGAAAATGAAAATTTTAATGTGTGCCGAATAGAGGCTAAAATACATTTTTCTCTCTCTTCTTTTCAACAACACGTTTTTTAATAAAATAATATTACACACAAACTCAAAACTTCTTCTAATTTTTTTATCACACTTTTTTCATCAATCTATTATTTCAAAATATATTTTTCAATGAAAATGGGCCTCAAACATGACAATAATAATGTCAAAAAATAATATATCAGGAATAAAAAAAGGAATAATCACCTATTGGTGGTGAGTTGTTCAACTAAAACCTGAATAAATTAACACAGCTTTTAAAAATAAATATTATTAATCTGTGTAGTCAAAGTAAGGAGGGACCAACAGTGGTTTTCGAGTCCAATAAAGCTGCAGCTACAGATTTTTTGGACAGATTTTGTTGGCCAGTTTTTTTTTTTTTTCCTTCTTCCAATCAAAATCTTCCAAGTGTATTTCCTGTTGAATTTCTGTCCATTTTTCCAGTACGTGTAGCTCAACTCTTTCGAGTCTCACGTGTTTCAGAAATTCCATGTTGACAGCGTCCACAAAATTCACCGGCGTAACAATTTGACTACTACTTTGTCTTCTTCATACTTTCTTGTCTAAAGGGAAGGTACAGTTCAATGTCCATGCATGCAAGCTATCTCCCAATTAGACTGGACAATCCTCGTGCATGCCCTACAAAATATTTAAAACTGCAGAATCCAACACAAGATTTTGGCCATATACATGCAATTATTGTTTCTTTTTGAAAATAAAGAAATGTCACACAGTATAAGAAAAAGAGATCTCACCAAATACGTGGATAATTATTATGAATGTTTGGTTTAAATTGATGTTTAACTTTGATTGAATTCATAAACTAATTTTAAAGTTGTATCCAAATGAGGCTTAACTTTGTTTTACATCTCTAATTGACATTCATTTCAGAATCATGATACAGTGATATAACGCCACATGACATTTTATTATTGAACTATTTTAAATACAATTAACTTTTTCATCAAATCATCTGTTGTCACCTCGAATTATGTCATTACATGTATTAATTTTCTTCCGACGGTGGCAAAATCTTTCATTTCATCTACAATAACCAAGTATTTGGATTACTAAAAAAAAAAAAAACATGTATAGATGATAATTGATGAACTAATGACGTCTCAAGATGAGATCTTTCGATCTATCTCCTTGCTTTATTGGCCCTTTCTTTTTTTTAATAGAGATTTTCCTCTTGTGGCCGTGCCTCTCAGCAATTGTATCCAGCTTAGGTTTCCATAGTCTTTGCCCAACCAGTTGCTGGTAGTCTTTCTGTAACTGAGGTGTATTACACACCCTAATATTTTTACCCAAGCTGGGTTGATCATCATCATTTTCTTTGATCTTTCCTTGCTCTATAAGCTGTGTTATGAATTCTTCAGACACCCTTATTCTCAGACTCCCAGATGGTGTTTTCTGTATATCGAAAGGTTGGCAACTGGCGGCCTTATTGGCTAAAAGAGCACAACCAGATTGGCACCGAAGCAAGAAAGTAAATGAAAAGACTGAATGGAAGAAGTGTTTAGGAAGAAGCAAGTAGTTTTGTCCCAACTGAAGCTTATCTTCCTCTGAAAGTGATTGGATTTTCTGGCCTATGTAGAATGAATCAGAAGGGCAGACCATGTACATTGGAAACTCGTCCACTATTTCAGACACATGAAGCGGTCGGTTATAGATTTTGACGGTGCCATCGTAGTTGATGAGCTTGATGATTCCTCTTCCATGGTGATGATGAGATTGAATGCGATTGCCCATTAATGAAAAGCAGTGTGGTATCAAAATCTTGATTCCCATAATTGAAGAAATGTTCTTGATGGATAGAAAGAAATGGAGACAATAGAGATGAATTAAAGGGAGATATATATATACAAGGGGGATGAATAGAAGAGAAGAAAAGTAGGAACTTTTAATTATTCAATAAAAAAAAAAAAAAATGAAGAAGGAGGAGGAGAAGAATTGAATGGGAAAATTAAAAATATATAAGGAAAGCGAGAGACCCGCGTTGAAAAGTTTTTTTTTTTTCAAGGCAAGGCTTGCAAAGTCCTAGTGGGGAGTGTGTTGAATTAATTTAATTAAGGTAGGCTTTAATACTTTTCCAAGTTTGACTGTCGTCATTCACTTTACATTCCACGGTCAGGTCGGCCTGCTTGTTTTGCCCAAACACATTCTTTAAGTTGAATTGGATCCCGCCAAATCAAATCAAATCAAATCAAATCAAATTCACTCACGATACCTTGGTTTAGGGCGAGGGTCGAGGTCAGGGTCGGGGGAGAGTAGTGTTGAAAAAGTGCGAAAATTTTTGTAATGTTGTTTACTCTTAGATATTGAGTAGACAATTTATAAAGGGATTAGATGATTTTTCTTCACATGAAAACTTGTGGAGTACATATCTCACTGCAATCTTGCTATATGTACATCTTGATTTATCGAATTTATATTTTGTATAATCTCACACCACATTTCACATCCCACACTTTAAATCTAACTATTATAATACTTTCATGTTGTCAATCTGTCAAGAGGTGTACAAATAGCTTAATCTATCTCACGATTAGTTTAGCACCTACATTTTTATATGTTGAGGTTTATGTGGTAACAATATTGTATTCATAATTGTTAAGTGAAATATCAAATATGATTGACTCACAATGAAAGTTTGAAATTTACATCTTTGAGATGAACACGTGAGTGAGATGTTAATCAATTTGCTTACAAAAACATATAAAAAGATTTTTTTAGCAGGTTGAAAGGTAGAATTAAGCCATGTTGTCAGAAAGAATTTGACATCTTGAATGATTTATTCTCACATGTGCATGGGCCCAGCATAGGACCCACGTGAATATAAAATGCAAAAAAATCCCCCCACTCACCCCCAATTGTGAGTGTATGTCACCTAATGTGTCAAATTCTTTCTGGCACCCTAGCATGGTTGTGAAAGGTTATCTTGAACTGACCCAAACAATATTTACATAACAAGTAAAATAAATTTAATGTCAGAGAATCCTAGTTAAATCTATTTCACCTCCTTTGACAAACATAAAAAGTTCAATTAGTTACCTCCCAACTTCTAATGGCCAAACACATTCTTTAAGTTGAATTTGATCCCGCCAAATCAATTCAAATTCACTCACACTACCTTGGTTTATTCTTATTTATTTGGAGAGGGGGCGGTGGTCTAGGTTAGGGTCAGGGTCGGGATCAGGGTCGAGGTTGAGGGAGAGTAGCATTGAAAAGTACGAAAAAATTTGTAAAGTTATTTACTTTTAGGTATAGAGTGGACAATTTATAAAGAGATTAGACTACTCATCTTCACATGAAACTTTAAGTACCAGATTAAGTTGATTATTTTGATGTTGTCTTCTTTTTTCTTTGGTTTAAGGGATAGAGGAGTACATATCACACAGTTAGCACCTACCTACATCTTTATATGTTGAAGTTTATGTGGTGGCAAAATTGTATTCATAATTGTTGAAGTGAAATATCAAATATGAGTGAGATGTTGATCAATTTGCATACGAAAAGCATATTACAATGAAGAATTTTTTAGCACGTTGAAATGTTATCTTGACCTGACTTGAACAATATTTATATATCACATAAAATAAATTTAACGTATGAGAATCCTAGTTGAAACTCTTTCACCTACTTTGAAAACATAAACATTCAACTAGTAACCCCTCAAGTTCTAAACGGCCAAGCTTATGTTTGATCTGAGGTGTTTTCTCATGTTATTGATTCCTATGCACAAATTCTTGTGGATTGAATTGAGGTTTTAAGGAATGATAATACTTGGACAAATCTATCTCGAACACTAGTTCGACATCATTAACTTGATATGAGGTTGTTGTTCCAAGTTAAAACTCTTTTTATCAGATTTGTGACTAAGTAGAATTTAACCATGTCGAATTAGCAAGACTACTACCATCATGGTAGGTATAACAATGAGCTATTTGGATTGTCTTTGCTGTGGAAGGTTCTAGTACTAGTTAATATTCGGCACAATATAAAAATATATTGCTTTGTACCCAAGTTGGGAAAACTGGAAAATCAACCGGAAATATCCATGTCAAATCTTTCGGCTTTAATATATTGCCAATGAGTTTTTGGTTCAACTTATTATAATACGTGTATATGTTCATTTTGATTGATTATAGGTTTCTTGACAACTCTATTTCAATGATATATATAGTGTTTATTTTAACATTCAAACTTTCAAATTCAGTAGTTCAATATATAGCACTAAAGAACGTTCAAATGAACAATTCGATCAGCCTAAACCTCAAACAAGTAATCAAATTTCAAGATTAGCGTTAACAATCGTCTCACCATCTTGTGGTGATATATTTCAAATTTCAAATCATTATGGATAGAATAAATAATTAGGGATTAAGCTACTCATCATGCCTTGAAATTCGATCAGTTGAGATTTAAGCGAATTGAATTGCTTGTTTGAGAATTAGGCTCTATCATATTGAATTATATGATCTAAAAGTTTAAGTTTATAGAAATAACTAAATGTACATCATTTAAGAAGTTTCAAATTAACATAGTATGTTCTAGAAGTTAGGCTCTGTACTTAAAGTAATTTAAGTCAAGAATTGGTGTTGCAAAAAATTGTTGTACGGTTGACTTATTGTTTCTAAATTAAAAACATGTGTTAATTTTCTCTCTAGAGATAAATTGAACCAACTTCGACCTGCGAATCAACTATATTTCTACTAACTATACGAATACATATGAAAACAAAATAAAAGGCTACAACTTCAATAAGGATCGCACCAAGCATTTTAGGGTTTAGGACTTCCTTATTTGAGCTAGAATTATGATTTATCTCGATATAATCAAGAATCTCAAAAATAATTCTAAAATTAGCTCGATAATAAGATGACAATTAATTTGATAACAAACAATCACAATAAATTAACTAAAACCGAGCAATTTATTGAATTAAAATGCCAATAAGGATTCATCACAATCCTGCCTAATAAAGGTATGGTCCGACGTTATTTGAATAAATAAATACAAAAAAATGAATGAATCAATAACCCAATTTTCGAGAAGAACAGATAGTTACAATCTTCCGTTTGATTGGCAAATGTGGAAAAACTTTTCAATTCCATGAAAATTAGAAAATAAAAACTCAAATAACTCATACGAATGCATTTTCCATGAAATTGACAAAAGACATACTTAAAGTGGTTGTACCTTAAAACTCGAACTTAATTTCCACTTTCGTATCAAACAGTCAAAGTAAAAATTAAATTTCTCGAATGTGAAATTTTATATGGAATTTGAAACCAATCAAACATACCCTTAATATTAGATTTCTTCATTAGCGTGAAATTGTATCTGTGTGCAATGCCAAGAATAGCTCGAAAAGATTAAAAATCATAGGAAGCAATTAAAATAGATCGAACCTCAATCGATCTTCAGCTTGACCTCACGCAAGCTGCAGACCAATTTGGGGGCGATGGATCCAGGATCCTTCAGGCGCAAGGCCTCGCCACTTCTTTTCTCCATTTTTACAAACCAGCCCCCATCAATTTTCTGATCTCTTCCATGTAAGTCCCTTAAATTTTATTTCTTAGATTTTAGTCCTTCAAATTCTGATCATGCCCAAAATGTTTCATCATCTTTCAAATTTGCTCAGTTTGGCCCTAATTCACTATTTTCATACAAGATAAGTCTCCTAGCTCATGTTTTGTACGCTTTTGGTCCCATCAACTTTAAATCGTCCCAATCAGGTCATAACACTTTCAATTGTATCTAGATTGGTCCTTCCAACTTCTATCTTATTCTAATTTAATCCTTCAAATAGTTGAGAATGTTGAAAATGTTGAAAGCTACAAAAGAGAGAGAGGGGGAAAAACAGTTCCTTATTGAAACGGACAATTATATTGGATTGAGTAGATCGATTAATCAATTTGGTAAAATCGATTTATTTAACATGATTAAAACTCTTGTAGGTTAAGGTTTTTGCATGCACTTGCGATTTAGACGATTGTCAAACGAATTTCTTGTGATATGTTTGGGGTGCAATTCTAGATAATTTTGAAAATGTACTTATATTGCATGATGTGAAAAAAAATAATAATAATAATTAATCGATTAGCAATCCTAAATAGACCATTCTAGACCACAAAATGGTCTAAAATCTAGACGTTGGACTTTTACCTTTATCTACCAAAAAATGGACCACAAGGAAATATGAAGAAGAAGACAAATAAATAAAAACAATTGTCAGTTTTGATGCACACCGTGATGGCAGACCATCTTATATTTATGTAAAGTAAACGACAACTTTCCAGAATTTGTGAGTTAAATAAGGTCTTGTTAGCCATGCTTAAAAGTTCAATTGATACTTTTACTTGGGGGAAGAATTAGATTTTTTTAAAATTTTAACTCAACTCTCTCTCTCTCTCTTTCTCTCTCTCTCTCTCTCTCAAAATAGATAGTGAATCTCTCCTAAAATATAGAAAATGAACAAACGACTGGGAACGAAGTGTAAAATATTGATTTCGATAATGGTAATCATTTTTGTTAATTTGATAAAGTTTAATTGTAATTTAAATTTGATTTTGGTAAAGTTTAATACTAATCATAATTTTATCATTGAAAACCCTTTTTTTTTTTTTTATCAAAATTGCTTGTATTACAAAGTTTTCCAATTTTAATTGCATACAAACTCAATTGAGGATTTCAACTATAAATACGGTAAGAATTCTCATCAAAAAAATAAAAATAAAAAAATAATA